TATATTGACACAGGTTCTTGACATGGGTCCCCAAATTGTTCCTCACAACTGGTTATTCTTATTTGAAATCCATCAGCAGTGTATGAAAAGTACCTATCACTCATAAGCTTGAAACATTTTGATATTACATTTTCTTTCTTTTTTTTTCTTTTCTTTTCTTTTCTTTTCTTTTCTTTTCTTTTTTTTGAGACAGGCTCTTGCTCTGTCACCCAGGCTGGAAGGCAATGCATGATCTCAGCTCACTGCAACCTCCACCTCCTAGGTTCAAATTATTCTCCCACCTCTGCCTCCCAGGTAACTGAAACTACAGGCGCACACCACCACACCCAGCTAATTTTTGTATTTTTAGTAGAGATGGGATTTCACCATGTTGGCCAGGCTTATCTTGAACTCCTGACCTCAGTTGATCTGCCACCTTGGCCTCCCAAAATGCTGGGATTACAGGTGTCAGCCACCACACCTGGCCTTGGTATTATAAATTTTAATGGCAGTATGACATATAAAATTGTTATACTGGTGTATTTGTCTGTTTTCGTGCTGCTGATAAAGGCATACCAAATACTGCTCAATTTACAAAAGAAAGAAGTTTATTGGGCTCACAGTTCCATGTGGCTGGGGAGGCCTCAAAATCATGGTGGAAGGCAAGGGGTAGCAAGTCACGTCTTACGTGGATGGAAGCAGGCAAAGAAAGCTTGTGCAGGAACCCTGCCCCCCCTTATAGTAACCATCAGATCTCATGAGACTTACTCACTATCACAAGAATAGCACATGAAAGACCTGCACTCTTGATTCAGTTACCTCCCACCAGGTCCCTCCCACAACATGTGGGAATTCAAGATGAGATTTGGGTGGGGACACAGTCAAACCATATCAACTGGTCCAACAATATTTTGGATTTCCTAAGATGGCAAATATTTATTAGTGATTTGTATTTTTGTGGATTTTCTGCTTAGGATCTTTTGTCATTTTTCTATTGTTGTATTAGTATTTTTCTTACAGAATAGGGTGTTAGGTAGACTTTTCTACTCTCTTCAATCTAGGTTTAGACTTAAAGCTGAAGTCCAGAGGTTCCAAGTAAGCTACATGCTAAAGAAAGACATAAAAATACCATCAAATTTGTGAACAGAGAGTTTTCCTTACCCTCAAGGTTTACAAAAATAGCCCTACAGCCTCTTCCCACCCCCATCTGCCACTCCATACAAAGTACAGGGTTAAGAAGTAAGAATAATACAATTCAGACTAGTTATTTTGGCAATTCAAGAACTATTTTTGTAGCATTTTTCTAATCCCTATACCCATTTCTTGAAGTCACTCCTAGTAGCCAGAAACTCAGCTTTTGGTGGTACTAGGAATGGAGACATGACCTGGTGGTTTGAAACTATGCAGGGCACAATTAATTAAAAAAATAACCAGCCCGGGTGCAGTGGCTCACGCCTGTAATCCCAGCACTTTGGGAGGCCGAGGCGGGGGGATTACAAGGGCAGGAGTTCAAGACCAGCCTGGCCAACATGGTGAAACCCCGTCTCTACTAAAAATACAAAAATTAGCTGGGCATGGTGGCAGGTGCCTGTAATCCTAGCTACTCAGGAGGCTGAGGCAGGAGAATTGCTTGAAACCGGAAGGTGGAGGTTGCAGTGAGCCCAGATCTTGCCACTGTACTGCAGCCTGGGCAACAAGAGCGAAACTCCAACTCAAAAAATAAAATAAAATAAAATAAAATAAAATAAAATAAAATAAAAAACCAGAAGATTTTGGAATCTGCCCAAGAGTGTGCTAAGGGATGAAAAAGAAATTTTGACACAGTACATTTTCAAACAATAGTTTAAAAAAAAAAACTATTTCGTTTCTATACCCAAACAAGTAGAAATAACTCAATGATCTATTATACTTATTAAAATAATTTAAAGTGCTATTTCTGACAGTGTTAATATGTGTTGAAATAGTTTTCTCAATTTGTCTTTTGCCTTTTATTTAAATTTGTTATTCAATATACTGTGTTACATTAAAACTATTAGCCTAACTTGCACTTTAAATGAACCTTTTACCATTCATGATTTTGTAACATCATGCTTTGAACATTTGGAAAATACTGCATTACTGAATTATTCAAACCTTCCAAGTAGTGACACATTTCATGATATGATAAAATAAAATGACAATCACTAATATCACACTAACAATACTTTTAGCATCTTAATTCTGAAGTTTTCATTCTCAGAGTACTGGATAGTTTTCCAAAACACTAGCTTTTAGTTGAAAGCTTAATTTTTTTTTTTTTTAATTGATAACAAAATACTGTCAGTTGTTTTCCTTGAGATGACAGGCTTACTTCATTCATTTTTGAGAAAATGTCTGCCAAATATCCAAGTCTGAATAATCCTAATTTGTCTGTCAATTGTTCTTTCAAGTAAAAATAGTGCCCCATGAAAAAAATCAGCTAGTTTGGCTCACAACTTCATCACACAAATGCTTTTCCACAAGACAAATATTGTATTTTTGTATGCAGCAAAAGTGCTATATGAATGACTTATTTGCCACACAGCATATTTAGAAGCCATGTACTAAAGAGCTAATATTTAATCAAATTACTTGGGCATGGTAGCATTTACTTGTAGTCCCAGCTACTTGGGAAGCTGAGACAGGAGGATTACTTGAGCCCAGGAATTCGGGTCCAGCCCGGGTAACACAGCAAGATTCCATCTCAAAAAAAAATTAGTAAGTAATCATTTTTACTACCTCATCAGTATATTCTTGATGTGAAACTACATTTTTTTCTGAGTTCCCAGTGGCAAAGAATCTTAGAACTCAGTACAGTTTGGTGCCCCTGCCTTGATTTGTGCTAAGGAGACAGAGGTTTGACCCAGCATTGCTTTTGCATTATCAGTATAAATGTAAACACAAAAAATGGCAAGTAATGTCTTAGTTCTGTTTTAAAAATTGTTCTGGCCTTATAGATCCCCTGAAAGGGTCTTGGAGATCCCTATGGTTTCATGGGTCATACTTGGAGAAACACTATTATGTGTGATACCATGATAGTGACTGAAATATTCGTAGGTTAATTGATGGTGATGCTGACAGACATTTCAGACAAGTAACACAAATTTTAAAGCCAAATTTATCCAAAGTGACAGTATAGTCAAGAAAATCAACCTGCCACCAGATTGGTAACTGGTCTCCGAGGAGAATCCTGCTCTTTCAGAGGCTCAGCTAGGCTACTGGCCAGGCAAGCCCTCAGCAGTGACATTAATCTGATTAGCCTTGATGAGAGTTCATGTTGTTGAACCCATGTGTAATCTCCATTCCTGTTGTCAAGGCCACTTTGTTCACAAGCCCTTGATGAAGCACTTGTAGATGAAGCTAGAAGCTGAATGTTATGCATACAATGGGTCTTCTTGTCTAGCTGGTAACTGCAAGACTCTTCAGTCAGTGACTTTTGGTAGGAATTCGCATGAGACAAATCCTCATATTCTGTTCTTATTCTGGGGGTACACACAAATACCTTTTGCCCAGATCTCCTTATCTTCATTCCTCCAATTGTGTATCTTTCAAGTCATTGAATTTCCAGTGACAATCACTAGTGACTGTCAATATGATCCATATTTTGGGCCATCTCTCCTTCCAGGCAGAGTGGGCAAGCAGACCGATATACTGCTTGAAGTCCTGCTCAGTAGAAGTATTTCATTTCCTTACTGTCATCTCAGACCACCTCTGAGTTGGGCCATAATTATGCATCAATTCACTTCCATCTGTGTCAGCATATCACTCAGAATCATATATAAACCAGGCCTGAATTTTTTTCTTCCTCAGTCAGGGGGAACGCCCCATGAGGTCAGAAGTATGAGTTGAAGGACAGGCAGCAATGCAATAACAGTACATTTCATGAGAGTCTAAACCTCAATTCATGCAAATCACATATTCAGTATCTCTTTGAGCTCAGTCTCCTACCACTATCACTTTATAATGGGGTTTCGCTGTTGATGTCCAACTTTAGAGCTTTTGGGATCAGATACATCCAGTTCATGATACTCATCTCAGATTGCCTGGTCATTTGATGTCCCATGGTCAGATATTTAATCTCTACCAGCACTGAGTGGCAAGAAAGATGCCATTTCTAAAAAGGTGAATGAATATCTACATAGCTTTGTTTTTAAATCTTACAAGCATGTATTATCATTCTTGTATGGGGATTTGCCAGAAGCTCCATGGAACAGCCCTAAAAGTCACAGACCTGCTGATTCATATGGCCTAAATGGTAAAATAACTTGTACTGTAACCTGGACCAGCTTCAGAGTCTTCTTTTGCTCTGAGCTCCATTCAAAACTCAGTAAATGGGCAAAGCAAATCACACAAATTAGATATATGTTGGCTCCAGATCCAAAAGAAGTCCACAAAATAACCACTTGTTTAATGCTAGTGGGTGGAAGATACATCAAGCTAACTTTTACTTTGGAGGAGAGATCTCAGTATATCCCGAACCCCAGGACCTTGGGAACCCAATACATTTTCATGAGATTTATCTCCTCCCCCAGAACAAATGTGTCTTAATAAAGTTTTGCAATAGATCTATAAGCATGATTTCATACATTATGTAGCCTAGATTATGACAGACAGCCACAGAGCTGAAAGCAACAGTGAAGGTTTTTTGTTTGTTTGTTTGTTTGTTTTGTCTTAATAATGCAACAGCAAATTGCTTCTTGGTTGGAATAGAGAGAATAAAGCATTTGCCAGAGCAATAGCTGCATACTAGGTATCTGAGATTTTGTTGTTTTGATCCAGTAAAGAGACTACATATATAAAAGCAGCAGCATTTCCTGTCACCACCTGATTAAGTTTATGAAAACTGGCTGGGCACGGTGGCTCATGCCTGTAAACCCAGCACTTTGGGAGGCCAAGGCAGGTGGGTCACTTGAGGTCAGGAGTTCAAGACCAGCCTGGCCAACATGGTGAAATCCCATCTCTACTAAAAATACAAAAATTAGCCGGGTGTGGTGGCACTCACCTGTAATCCAAGCTACTTGGGAGGCTGAGGCAGGAGAATCACTTGAACCCGGGAGGCGGAGGTTGCAGACAGCCAATATCAAGCCATGACACTCTAGCCTGGGCAACAGGGCAAGGCTCCATCTAAAAAAAACAAAAAAACAAAAAAAACTTTATGAAAATCCTCTATCACTCTCCAAAAGCCTACTACCATCATCACAAGCTAAATCTACACTCTTGCATCCCTCAAGACTTTCATGGTGACATTAATCTCCACAGACCTCACAGATGCACTATTGCTTTTGATTTAACATTTCAGTTGGTCAGAGTAATTCTAGTGGTTTCTACTTGGCCTTTTTCACATTAGCCATCATTCTACAGGCAATGGAGCCAGTTTGAAGAGTCTGTTAGTTTTCAAGTGTTTTCTTGGGAACTACAAATTCAGAAATAAAGAGAATTACCATAGGGTTCTTTGTGTGGACCCACTTGGCCCACTGTGAGAAGAAATTAGACCAAAGCTCCATATAACATCTAATGTCTATAAATTTCCACTCTATTTGGCCAAAGAGCATTTGAGTTCTCCAGGAATTAGCATCAACTCTAAGTCTGTCCCAGTAATCCCAGAAAAATCTGGATGTTGCCCTCTTTCCAGTACACAGATAACCTATCAAACAGCCTCTAGTGACTTTCAGGAAGGCAAAGTGGAAAATTAACAGTATACTCTACTGGTAGAACTGTAGAATTGTTCCTCAAGGAGACGACCTTGCTCATATCTCAAAATCGGATGTCTATTCCTGCACCAGTTCCACAATGTTTCTATTAATATACCTTTATAATGTGTCTTCAAAACTGATGAAGTAATTCCTAATATTGTCAAAGATTATTTTGGCCATTCTTATACATTTGCTTGTCCTAATGAATTTTGGACTCCATTTGGCAAAGTACACACACACACACATACACACACACAAATCCTATTAGCATTTTTATTGAGATTGTTTGTTTGGATTTGTAAATTAATTAAGGGAACACTTAGATTTTTGTAGCACTAAGTCATCTCACCAGTGAACATGATGCACCTACTTATTTGGAAATTTTATATCTTCTATTAAATTTTGTAATGTTCTCAGTAGAGGTCTTGCACATTTTTATTAGTTTTATTTCTAATTGGTCTCATCCCCCAAAATTAAGATTTATTATAAGCTCACATTCTCATCCATCTACTCCCTTCTCCCCTTTATAGTCAAACTTCTAGAAAAGTCCACACTACATGTTTCCATTTACTCACTTCACTTCCTCTTAAACATAATGCAATTTGGATTCAATGAGCCCCACTTCATCAAAACTGCTCAGTCACCAATGAAATGCATAACGAAAAACTCGAAAAGTCTTTTCTCAATTCTTATTTTGCTTAACTTTAAAAAAAATTTACAGATTTAAAATTTACATAAATTCATTTATTATAATTTATATTTCTATGTATTTTGACACATTCATAGAACATCATCACAGTCATATACAAAACAGTTTCATCAGGCTAGGCACAGTGGCTCTCACCTGTAATCCCAGCACTTTAGGAGGCCAAGACGGGCAGATCACCTAAGGTCTGAAGTTCAAGACCAGCCTGGCCAACTTGGTGAAACCCCATGTCTACAAAAATTAGCTGGGAGTGGTGGCCTGCACCTGTAATCCCAGCTGCTCAGAAGGCTGAGACAGGAGAATCGTTTGAATCCAGGAGGGCAGAGGTTGCAGTGAACTGAGATCATGCTGCTGTACTCCAGCCTAGGAAACAGAGCAAGACTCCATCTCAAAAAAAAAAAAAAAAAAAGTTTCATCACTCCCCAAATTCCTTCCTGCTGCCTCTTTATGGTGAGCCTCCATCTCTACCCTACTCCTGGCAACCACTGATTTGTCTCCCATCTTAATATTTTTGCCTTCTCTAGAATGTTAAATAAGTGAAATCATACAATATAAATGTTTTGCTTCTATCTTCTTTCACTTTCACAAAATATATTTGAGATTCATTCATGTTGCTACATGAATCCATATTTCCCAACTTTTATTGCTAAGAAGAATTCCAAAGTATAGATACACCACAAATTGCTAATTCATTTATTCAAGTTTGAGTTGTTTCCAGGTTTTGACAATTACTAATAAAGCTGCAATGAACATTCATGTACAGATTTCTGTGTGAACATAACCTTGCATAAATCTTGGGTAAATATCTGAGAGTCAGACTGCTGCATTATGAAAAGCATGTTCTTATATGATAGAATATATGATGGCAAATCATAAATGTTTAAATGATTAAAGCTGCTTAAGTCAACAAGGTTGTCAAACTGTTTTTCAAAGTGGCTGTGACAGCAAAATATTAGGATTCCAGTTGATCTACATCCTCACCAACATTTGGTAATATCAGGAATTTTTCCCTATTCTCATAGGTATTTTGGGCATTTCACTGTGATCATACTTTGCATTTCCATAATGAGTACCATATCTTTTCATATGCTTATTTACCATCAACATATCTTTTTGAGTTGATTTGTGTATATTTTTTGCTTTTTTAATTGTTGAATTTTGAGCATTCTTTATATATTCTGAACACAAGTTTTTGTTGGTGGTGGTGGTGGTGGTTTTTATGGTCAGAAATGTGACTTTAAATGTTTCCTCCCAGTCTGTAGGTTTGGCTTCATTTTCCACCAGTGTCTTTTTCAGAGCAAAAGATTTTAATGTTAATTGTTGGACTTTTCAGCAGCATTTGACATAACTTTCTCACCTTTCAGGTCTCAGCTTCAGAAGGCTTAGCCGAATTAGCCTTCTTCAATATTTTTATCTCAGTAAATTTCTACCATGCTACCCTCTATATTTTCTTTATGGCACCTCTTACACGTTGTAATTATTTTATTCATGTATTATGTTTCTTATGTATATTCCCCATGGAGTTGTAAACTCCATGAGTACTAAGTGGCCGTGTCTGCTCTTTCACAATAGTACTCTCAGTGACTAACAGAGAATCTGGCAAATAGTTATGGGAAGGAGGAAGGGACAGTAGGTCTTGAAGGAAAGGTCAAAGGTTATTCTGAGAATTCTAGCTCAAGAAATCGGCTAATTGTTAATAATTTAAATAATTATTTAATAATTAAATAATTTAAATAATTGTAAATAATCGAATATAGGCAGGAAGAGATGGCTTGAGAAAAAAGTTAATACATTTATTTAAGGCCTACTAATTTTAAATACCGGGAGACATGGTGGTATCTGCCAAATTTCTCCATGTAATTATCCCTCTTTTCCCATTATTAATAAGTACGTTAGGGGAAATAATTTGAGACTATACAAATAACTTATTTTTCCTCAAACTTTTGTCCACTGATTTTGGAATCCTTCCACGTATTTTACCTGCAACAATCGTGTTTGTCTAATGGAAATTTTAAAGTTTCCTCATTCTTTTCTCATATATTAATTGGATTTTTCTATAAAAAATAAACTTTCCCTTCTCTCTCAAATATTTATTCAACTATTCCAAATCATATTCCTTCTGTTCGCCTTATTTGCCAGGCAAGTGAGGATTTAGCAAAACAACAAAAGAAGAGCAAATACGGTTTAAAAAGACAAATCACAAAGAATTTTCAAATTTTTCACATTAGCCTGTCAAACCAGATGAACTGGTCAAACAACAAAAAAGTTAGATTAAGATGAGGCACACAAATACTATCATTGATCAAAGCAACATGAGTCCATAGAAAACAAAGTTACCACAAAAAGACAAAAGTGCTTACTGACTGCGTGTGGTGTCTTAAGATCAAAAGGTAGGGTAATGCATTTTGATAACTAATGTTCACTTTGTTCCTCTCCGACTCTTACTGGGTAGAGTTTCTAAATACAAGAAGAAACTAACTGCTTTATTTCAAAATGGGTAGTGGGTTTTTTTCTCTTTTTTTAAATGAACTTTTATTGTATTCAAAACAATGGATAGTGGTTTTAATGGTTTATTTGAGCTGCGACTTTTTCCCTCCAACCAAGGCATCTATTATTTTTCAGAGAAAACTCAACCAATACATTGTTAGGTTGAAGCAGTATGAATACTGATACCATCAAATGTTTCTGCCTTAAGAAAGATTATTTCCATGCCTGTATCAATAATCTTTTTTTTGCAAAATAGGTTGTCTTTGCAACAGATTGATATACTGTGAAAAACAAACAAACAAACAAACAAAAACACATCATTTGTCTGTAAGGAGAATAAGCATTGATTTTGGAAATAAGCCACAATTTCTTGGGTGACCTAAGAACAAGTCACCAAACTTGCCTCAACCTGATTTTCCCATCTATGAAACAGTAATAGTTTTTACCTACCTCATTAAGCGATGTCAGACATTAATTAATGTTCATAATGGGCTTGAGATCTATGATTAAAAGCTGTCATCATTGATGGAAAACAGAGCCATTCAACTGTTGGGGAGTAAATAAATCGGGGAAGATGTAGTCCATGAGAAGAGATACTGAAGAGTGAAAAATTAGTCAGGAAAGGGGAAATGGAGACTGAGTCAAAAATCTCAACTGATCTATAAGTATTTATGATTTTTTCCCATGGAATTAAGTATACCTCCCTAATGTCTCAATAAGGAACTATTCTTTCCTACACTAAGATTCTTAACCTTTTAGTGCCATGGAGCTTTTAAATATTTTAGCAAAGCCTATGGACTATTCTTGTAATCATTTGTAAATGCTTTTAGAAATATGCAGGATTACGAAAGAAACCAATTTTATCAAGACACAGTTTTCAAATTTAATTTTAGAGTAATATGTATGCTTCTTTATTAAATTAAATGAAATCTAAAGGCAGTCTGGTAACTACCATAATTTTAAAGGAGTGATGATTATAAACAACACTTTGAGATATTTGCAGCAACTCCAATGCAATATAAAAATTTCTGTGTTTTCTACTGATGACAAAGTTAGGGGAATTACTCCTAATACTGTGCTATGTTGTCTACATTTACAATTTTTTTTAATGTTAGGTTTAATTAGGAGTTACTAAAAATAAAGATGTATTTTACCCCACCCAAGTTTGTGAACCCTTTAGATTTTATTCATAGGCTCCTTTGGGATATTTGGATCTCAGGTTATAAGAAACCCTATTCTATACTTATCCTGGAATTTCTAGGGTAATACTAAGAAATAAATATTATTTCTCAATGTGTAATCAGGTAATCACAGATACAAGTGTTTATTAAAATGCAAATATGTTGGCCTTTTCCTAGACTTACTAAATCAAAACTAGGGCTGGAGAATATCTGTGAATCCATATTTTTAGTAAGTACCCAGCTGACTGACTTATATACTAAAGTTTGAGAATTGCTACAAAGTTGATTACCTCAATAGTCATCTTCAGTGGAATCATAGTTATCAAGTCAGAGAGTCTCAAATGTTAGTTTGAGATATTATAACACAGTAGCTCTGAAAGGGATTAAGAAATTTTAATTTTTCAACAGGCACTTCAAATATTACGAGGAATATATTCTCAATTCCATTAGGAGAAATATTCCTCACCAAAGACATTAAAAGTCCAAGTAAAAAATCTGCCTGAAAATGAGAGGTGCTGCTGAGCAGCTTCACATCAGAATCTTCATAACAGTACTCCACTCCTTTTCCTTTTCTGCACCAATTAACATTCTTTAAAAGAGTATCCTTACATAGAACAGTTAAATACAGAATCAATGCATTATGTCACAGAAGATACAAAGGAACAGTGGCACTTTTTTCTGCATTTAAAACATCATGCACTAAACTGGTAGGCAAAAATTTGTCATCAACATGAAAAGCAATAATTATAGAGTAATAGGGTTGCAGAAGATCTAAAGATCATCTCAAGCTTTCAGTTACTACCTTTTTTGCTTCTGCCTCACAAATCTTTATCCCTATCCAGAACTCTCTGTAATTTGATTTCAGACCAGTATATCCAACTGCCTGCTAGACATCTATTCCTGAATATTACAGACAGCTACAAACCAAAACTGAAATCATCACTTTCTCTCTTATACTGTTTGTCTGGGGTTTTGGTACCCCCATCTTACAAGGCATTCAGAAGTTATCCTGGACTTCTTCCTAATTTTTTCTTTGCTAGGAGACACTGCGACACTTTTGGGGTGTCTGACCAACTTTAAAGCGTCAGCAGTGGCGTAGCATCCCTTAAGTCTGCATTTTTCTTTCTTTCTTTTTTTTTTTTTTGAGATGGAATCTCACTCTGTCACCCATGCTGGAGTGCAGCGGCACAATCTCAGCTCACTGCAACCTCTGCCTCCCGGGTTCAGGCAATTCTCCTGCCTCAGCCTCCTGATTAGCTGGGACTACAGGCACACACCACCACGCCCAACTAATTTTTGTATTTTTAATAGAGATGGGGTTTCACCATGTTGGTCAGGCTGGTCTCGAACTCCTGACCTCAGGTGATCCACCTGCCCCAGCTTCCCAAAGTTCTGGGATTATAGGCGTAAGCCACCGCGCCCAGTCAAGTCTGCATTTTTGAAGTGCCAATCTCCAATATGTCTGATGTTGTAAGATGGACATAGTGCTTGGATGCTGTGTATCCTTCTGATACAGCTTTTGTGCCCCAAACTAACTCCAAAAACACAACTACAGCCCTAGAAAAGTTTAGGAGATTATGTTTTACATGAGTTCAGATTTAGGCCTCTTTAAGAAATGCCTTTCATGCCTATGATTTATTTTTCTTTGTATTCATCTTTACTTTCCCCTCACTCCATTCAAGTCATAGGATTTCCAGATCTCAATTTAGGGTGTAGTTCTTGGTGAACACTCTTTCAGTCTGCCTCTGACCTAAATAAGAGAAATCCTTGGGGGCCCACAAAGTCCTGATTGAATCACGAGTAGAGTACATTGGGATTGGAGTCCAAAGCCCAACCTAGTAGTGTATGACTCAGAAGTTGGAATTCTAGCCAGGTGTGATGGCTCATGCCTGGAATCCCAGCAGTTTTGAGAGGCTGAAGTGGGAGGGTTGAGTCCAAGAGTTCAAGACCAGCTTGAGCAACATAGTGAGACCCTGTCTCTACAAAAAATAAAAAATTAGTCCAGTGTGCTGATATGTGCCTATAGCCCCAGCTACTTGGGAGGCAGAGATGGGAGGATCACTGGAGCCCAGAAGGTCAAGGTAAGTGAGCCATGATTGTGCCACTGCACTCCAGCCTGGACAACAGAGCAAAACCCTGTCTCAAAAAATTTAAAAAATTTTTAAAAAGCAGAATTTGGAATTCTGATCACCAACATCTGGTGTAGTTAAACTGATCAAAGTGTATACACAGCTAAGGTTTAGGAGGTAAGATCACTAAAGAATCTTAAACTTTAAGGACTGTTGTCCTATTTATGGATAAATCCCCACAAGAAGAGAAAGGCTAATGCACAAGTATGGGATCCAGTAAGTAGACCATTGTCTTGGTGAAGACGAGGATTCAGTTCTAGGGTGTCTGGCTGACCTCAAGACAGAGCCTCAGCATGTAAACTTCTGACTTAAAACATAATCCAGCATATAAACAAAACCAAAGACAAGAACCACACGATTATCTCAATAGATGCAGAAAAGGCTTTTGACAAAATTCAACAGCCCTTCATGCTAAAAACTCATAATTGGTATTGATGGAACGACCTCCAACAAAATAATAAGACGCTATTTATACAAACCCAAAGCCAACCATCATACTGACATGGGCAAAAACTGAAACTTCTTTGAAAACTGCACCCGACAGGAGTCCCCCATCTCTCACCACTCCTATTCACATAGTGTTGCGAAGTTCTGACAGGCCAATCCAGCCAAGGGAGAAAAGACCTCAAGGGTATTCAGTTCAGAAAAGAAGATCCAATTGCCCCTCCTTTGCAATGACATGCATGTATAGTTCAGGCAACCATTGTCCTCAACCCCAAAACTCCTTAGCCGATAAGCCCACCTTCGCCAAAGGTCTCAGGATACAAAATAAAGTGCAAAAATCACAAGCATTCTTATACACCAGGTAACAACAAACAGAGCGCCAATCACTGAATGACATCCATTCACATTCTCAAACAGAGAATCAAAATCCTAGGATCCCACTTACAAGATGAAGGGTACCTCTTCAAGAGACTACAAACCACTTGCCTCAGTGAATCACAAGAGGACACCAACAATCCACACATACATCGCCTCCTGGGATAGAAGAATCAATCCGTGAAATGGCCATACTGCCCCAAGGTTATCATCTATAAGATTCAATGCCCATCCATCAAGCCTGCCAATCGACTTCTTCGTTCACAGAATTGAAAAAACTGCCGTTAACAAAGTTCCATATGGAACCAAAAAGGCCCGCATCTCCAAGACAATCCTAAAGTCAAAAGAACAAGCTGGAGGCATCACGCTACCCTGAACTTCAAAACTATTCCTACAAGGCTACAGTAACCCAAACAGCATGTACTGTTCCAAAACACAAGATATAGACCCCGATGACAGACCAGAGTCCTCAGCATAATACCACCATCTAACAGCCATCGATTTTGACCAAACCTCCAGAAAACAGAAATGGGGCGAAGGATTACCTATTAACTCAAATGTGCTGGGAAAAATTGGCTCCGTCCTGAAGTAGAAACTGAAAAACTGGATCCTTTCACCTTACTCCTTATACGAAAATTAAATTCAAGACGCGATTAGAGACTTAAATTAGCACCTAATACATAAAAACCCTAGCGGAAACTAGTTAGTACATTCACGAATACGCAAATGGCAAGACTCATGTCTAAAACACAAAAGCAACGGCAGCAAACCAAATTTGACAAGGGACTCATATAAACAAAGAGCCCTTCTTGCCACAGCCAAAAAGAAACTACCATCCGAAGTGAACAGGCAACCAAGAATGGGAAGAACATTTTTGCAAGCTACTCACTGACCCAACAGGCATAATTTCCCACTACCAGACCAACAAATTACAGATCAAAACAAACAACCCTCAAAGTGGAAGATATAACACAGAACCATTCTCAAAATCAGACATGCATACCCACCCAACAGACACATAAAAATGCTCATCATCACTGGCCATCAGAGAAATGCAAATCAAAACCACCATGAATAACCATCTCACACCACGTTAGAAGGCCGATCATTCAAAGCTCAGGAAACAACCAGTGCATTGAGAAGGCCTGCTGGAAACAGGAACACAATTTTACACTGTGTGGATGTAAACTCAGTTATCAACCATTATGAAAACCGTAATGCGATTCCTCAGGATCTAGAACTTCCAGATGTAATAACCGACCAGTCCATCCCCATTACCGGGTAATATACCCAAAAGGATTAATACAATCATGCTGCCTATAAAGACACCATGCCACACTTGTTCTATTGGCACTGATTCCACAATAGCAAGACTTGAATCACCCAAAATGTCCAATCGTGACAGACTGAGTAAGGAAAAATGTGGCACATTACCCCATTCGGAATACTTATGCCAGCCATTAAAAAGGATGAGTTTGTGTCCTTGTAGGACATGAATGTCAGCCTAACCATCATTCCTCAGCAACTATTCACAAGAACAAAAACCCAAACCCCGCATGTCTCACCTCATGGTGGAACTGAACATGAGATCACTTGACTCGGAAGGGCAACATCACACACAGGGCCTGTCATGGGAGGGGAGGGGAGGGAATTGCCATTGGAGTTAATACCTGATGTAAATGACAAGTTGATGGTTGCTGACGAGTTGATGGGTGCAGCACAGCAGCATGGCACAAGTATACATATGTAACAAACCTGCACGTTATGCACATGTACCCTAGAACTTAAAGTATAATAATAATAATAAAAAATTTAAAAAAAATACCAAGTACTGCTGGATTGCTCTGTGTTCTCCATTCCAAGATCAATTTTCTTCTTCATCCTATTCCTCAGCCAGGGTTGAAGGAGTAATATTCAATGCTAGAGAAAATAGGTAAATTCCTCCTGGAACAGGAAAATGGGTTGCAGAAAAGAATGCCTGCATCAGCCTGAGAAGAACAACTTTAACCAAGGTTTAGTGATTTCAACACTGAAGAAAGGTGAGATTTAGGGAATGAGACTCTGCAGAGATAATATCCTTCTCAATGAGCCCCTGTATGCACAGTGCTGGAAGAACCTGGAGCAAAGAAAGCTAGGGTTCTGCTGGGATTAAAGTAGCTCATAGTGGCCTCCGTTCACATGTTATTGAACTCATATTTAGTGGAAGATGGCCTAGAATATACCTTAGAGGAAAAGACTCAGGCTGAAACATCCCCTGGGTTAGTCCCAACAGTGGGAATGCATGGATTTACAAGAAAATGTGCATGGTTGCAGGCAAACAGGAGGGAGATATGCAAGAGGGCCTGAGACACTGAATCTGATATTAGAGCTTTGATTTATCTGTGGGAACAGAGAATTGGCTTGATATTGGGAAAAGATTTGTACTGTTAAAATGTATAAGGTGTATACAGAAAATAACTGACACTATGTGGTGCAGACATCAAGGGCTCAGTATATAATATAGCGGTTGAGAGGTGGATTTTGGAGTCAGACCATCTGGGTTTTAATACTACTTTCTCTATGGGCAAGTCTCTTAACCTCTTTTCTTCTCTTAAAAGTAGAAAAAATAATTATACCTACCCATAAATTAGTTGTGAGGATTACATGCACTGACATATGTAGAAAACATAGAATTGTGTTTAGCACATACTAGCTGTAAAAATGTTAGCTATAATCACTGTATTATAGCGTGATAAGTTTGTTGGGCAATGAATAGCTGAGCATACTTCATTTTTATTTATTTATTTATTTATTTTTGAGATGGAGTTTCACTCTTGTCACCCAGGCTGGACTGAAATGGCATGATCTTGACTCACTACAATCTCCGCCTCCTGGGTTCAAGCGATTCTCCTGCCTCAGCCTCCCAAGTAGCTGGGATTACAGGCATGTGCCACCACGTCCGGTTAGTTTTGTACTTTTAGTACAGATGATGTTTCACTATGTTGGTCAGGCTGGTTTCGAACTCCTGACCTCAGGTGATCCACCCACCTCGGCCTCCCAAAGTGCTGGGATTACAGGTGTGAGCCACTGTGCCTGGCCTGAGCATACTTTAAAATATGGAAAGAATCACATCTAGAGGCACATGCCAGAAAGAGTAAAAAATTTAAAAAAAGAAAAAGCAAAATAAAACAAGGATAGGAATAGAAGGAGACTGCTTTGCCTAATGCAGGCTACAAAGGAAATAGCAAGCCCACATACTTGTAGGGGACAGGTAAGTTGCACAAATATATGTAGACAATGTGTATTAGTCAGAGTTATCAGAAAGACAGATATAATAGGATATGTACATAGACATATGAAGGGATTTATTAAGGGAATTGGCTCACATAATTATGGAGGGTGGGAAGTCTCCCAACGGGCCATCTGCAAACTGGAGGCTCTGGGATGCTGGTAGCATGGCTTAAACCAAGTCTGAAGGCATCAAAATCAGGAAAGCCAATGGTGTAACTCTCAGTTGGAGGCTGAATGCCTGAGAATCTGGGAGCTGCTGGTGTTAAGTCCTGGAGTCCAAAGGCCGGAGCCTGGAGTTCTGATATCCAAGGATAGGAGAGGAAGAATGAAGCCCAGCTCTAGGAAATAGATGGACATATTTGTCTTTCCTCTGTTTTTGTTCTCCAGCCCTGGCAAATTGGATGGTGCCTGCCCACGTTGAGGGAGGGTCTTCCTCACCTAGTCCACTCACACTCACATGCTAATCTCTTCTGTAAACACCCTCACAGACACACCCCAAAATCATGCTTTACCAGGTTTCTATGTATTCAGTAATCCAGTCAAGTTGACACCTAAAAGTAAACATTACAAGGTGTATTGGGGAGTTCAGAGACAGGAAAATAAAGTAGCGAAACGTGGAATCTAGAAGAGGTATTTGGCTTTTGCAAATCAGAGTAAGCATGTCTATTGCCTCAGGGCATTCACATTCAGTATTTATTTATCAAAAGTGCTAACCAAATTGAACAGTTTTTGGATCATTCTAAGAGGCTAGCTCCCAGTTGGCCACATACATAGTTTTGAGTTGTCATACGTCATTTCAGTTAAAATATTGTCCTATCCTATTTCTGATGTGTCTAGGGGAAACACCAGGCCTTGAGTGGGCTATATGGCCCATCTCTGGATGATGCAAAGGAGCTGTGGTAAGGATTATAAACAGTTAGGATTTTTTTTTTTTTTTTTTTCTTTGAGACAGGGTCTCGCTTTGTCGCCGAGGCTGGACTTCAATGGTGTGAACTGAATGGATGACTGCAACCTCCACCTCCTGGGCTCAAGTGATCCTCACACCTCAGCCCCCTAAGTAGCTGAGATTATAGGTGTGCACCACCATGTCTGGCTAATTCTTGTATTTTTTCTAGTGACAGAGTTTCCCCAGTTTGCCCAGTGTGGTCTTGAACCCGTGAGATCAGGCAATCTACCTGCCTTGGCTCCTCAAAGTGCTGGGGATTACAGGCATGAGCCACTGTGCCTGGCCCAGTTAGGGTATTTCTAATACTCTGATCTCATTTGAATGAAACAGCAACATCCCATGGTTGGAGTATTAAATTCATGTGGGTTAACAGGAAGACAAAATAAAAGCTATTGGCTATACACTTGAGGGAACTCAAGGTGTTTCTTGCCTCACTTTGCCTCCAAAACAGGATACCTACTGATAACAGAAGTAGGCAACAATGCTGGGGGCTGGAGTTTTTTATGTCACTAGTGAAAAGGTTAAAGCAGTACTTTCTCAACCTTTTTCAGTTTATGCCACAGCCTACAGTGACTGGGATGAAATTCTTTCATCCTCCTACCTGCCCCAAAGGCACACTCTGACCCTTTTCTTTGAGAAGCACTCTTTAAAGTTCCTTGAATGCATGTGGTATTGCACCTGGCTTTTCCTCACTCAGTTTTTTTTTCTATAAACCTTGCTTTCTTTATGGGTAAGTAGTAGATGGCCTTAGGGTTCCTCCTAATTGAGAAAGTGGTGTCTCCTTTTCTTTTTTCTCTTCCATTCCCAAACCTTCCCTTTTTAAAAGTTCACTTCAGAAAGAATTCAAAGAGATCTATTTGAGCTTGTTGGTCTTCAAGAAAAACATATTTTCACTTGTGATATACTTTTGCTTGTGACAGTTCTTTGTTTTTTGTTTGTTTGTTTTAAGTTCTGGGATACATGTGCAGAATGTGCAGGTTTGTTACATAGGTATACATGTGCCATGGTGGTTTGCTGAACCCATCAACCCATCACCTGGGTTTAAGCCCCACATGCATTAGGTATTTGTCCTAATGCTCTCCCTCCCCTTGTCCCCCAGTTCTCTTTTTTCTTAAAACTTTTATTTTAAGTTTGGGGGTACATGTGCAGGTTTGTTACACAGCTAAACTCATGTCACAGAGATTTGTTGAACAGATTATTTTATCACTCAGGAACTAAGCCTAGTACCCATTAGTTATTTTTCCTGATCCTGTGCCTCCTCCCACCCTCCACCCTCTTAGGCCCCAGTGTATGTTGGTCCCCTATGTGTGTACACATGTTCTCATAATTTAGCTCCCACTTATAAGTGAGAATGTGCAGTATGAATTTTCTGTTCCTGAGTTAGTTTGCTAAGGATAATGGCTTCCAGCTCCAAACATGTCCCTGCAAAGGACATGACCTCATTCATTTGTATGGCTGCCTAGTTTTCCATGGCATATATGTACCACACTTTCTTTATCCAGTCTATCATTGATGGGAATTTAGGTTGAGTCCACTTCTTTGCTATTGTGAACAGTGCTGCAATGAACATACACATGCATGTGTCTTTATAACAGAACGATTTATATTCCTTTGGGTATATACCCAATAATGGGATTGCTAGGTCGAATGGTATTTCTGTCTTTGAGGAATCACCACACTGTCTTCCACAATGCCAATCTTTTACCATCTATAAGTCATTAAGAGCCCAAACTAGTGTCTGGGTTTATGAGAAAATGGTCAAGAATGACAGGTGGAGGGCCGGGCACGGTGGCTCACGCCTGTAATCCCAGCACTTTGGGAGACCGAGGTGGGCAGATCACGAGGTCAAGAGTTTAAGACCAGCCTGGCCAACATGGTGAAATCCCATCTCTACTAAGAATACAAAAATTAGCCAGGTGTGGTGGTGTGTGCCTGTAATCCCAGCTACTCGGGAGGCTGAGGCAGGAGAATCGCTTGAACCCGGGAGATGGAGGTTGCAGTGAGCCAAGATCGTGCCAAGATCATGCCACTGTACTCCAGCCTCTGCAACAGAGCAAGACTCTGTCTCAAGAAAAACAAACAAAACAGAATGATAGGTAGAAATTAGGAAAGTGTGCAAAGTTTCTTCTGCTAAGAACTGTACAATTTTATTTAATATTAAATATACTAATATATCTCCACACCCAGGCAGATCACTTGAGGCCAAGAGTCTGAGACCAGCCTGGCCAATATGGTGAAACCCTGTTTCTACTGAAAATACAAAAATTAGCCGGGCATGGTGGCGCATGCCTGTAATCCCAGCTACTCAGGTGGCATGCATCAGTAGTCCCAGCTACTTGGGAGGCTGAGGTGGTAGAATTCTTTGAACCCAGAAATTCAAGTCCAACCTGGGCAACATAGAGAGACCCTGCCTCCAAATAAAAATAATTTTTTAAAAAATCAAATATATAAAATATCTAATTAATGTGCAATGCAGATGACTTCAGCAGACTCCAATTCTACTAGGAAACCTGTAGAGCTAAGATAGTAATTATTCATTTGTCTCTCTAATATCTCAACACAGCTCAGAAATCAAAAGATGAGGAGCAATATTAAATTTGGTATTCAAATTAAGGTTTACATTAATGCTATCAAATGACTTTTATTAATTTAATACTTATAAGCTTGGTTTTTCACAGATCAATTTTCCTTTTACTATTATTATTATTTTAAAATTTTATAGACTTAGAGTACAAGTGAATTTTTGTTCGTTTCTTTGGTTGGTTGGTTGGTTGGTTTTTTTGAGACAGGATCTTGCCTGTTGCCAGGCTGGAGTGCAGTGCTCGAATGCACAGCTCACAGTAACTTCAAGCTCCCAGGTTCAAGCAATCTTCTCACCTTGGCCTCTTGAATAGGTGAGACCACAAGGTGGGACCTCTTGAGTAGGTGGGATCACCACACACAGCTAATTGTTAAAAAAAAAAAAAAATTTCTAGAGACTGGGTCTCCCTATGTTGCCCAGCAGGTCTTGAACCCCTGGACTCAAGGGATCCTCACACCTTGGCCTCCCAAAGTGCTGGGACTACAGGTGTGAGCCACTGGCCCAGCACAAGTGCCAATTTGTTACACGGATATACTGCATAGTGATGAAGTCTGGGCTTTTAATGATCCCATTATCCTAATAGTGTACATTATATTCATTAGGCAATTTTTCATCCTTCACCCTCTACTTCCACCTTCCTACCTTTCCAAGTCTCCAATATCTGTTATTCCTCTCTCTATGTCCATGTATACATATTATTTAGCTCCCACTTACTAGTGAGAACATGAAGTATTTGGCTTTCTGTTTCTGAGTTACTTCACTTAAGATAATAGCCTCCAGTTCCATCCATTGCTATTGCATAAAACATGAATGCATGTATTTTTATGGATGAGTAATATTCCACGGTATATATGTACCATTTTCTTTATTCAACCATCTACTGATGGACACTTAGGTTGGTTCCACATATTTGTTATTGTGAATAGTGCTGCAATAAACATGAGTGCAGGTAGATTTTGATATAATGATTTCTTTTCTTGTGGGTAGATACCCAGTAGTGGGATGTTGGATTGAATGGTAGTTCTATTTTTAGTTCTTTGAGACATCTCCATACTGTTTTTCACAGAGGCTGTACTAGTTTACATCCCCACCAACAATGTATAAGCGTCCTCTTTTCTCTGCATCCTCACCAACATGTTTTGTTTTGTTTTTTTCGTTTTTAATAGCAGCCATTTTTCACTCCTGTAATCTCAGCACTTTGGGAGGCTGAGGCAGGAGGATTTAGACAGAGTCTCAACATAGACAGGATCTTACTATGTTGCATAGGCTGGTCTCGAACTCCTGGGCTCCAGCCAGACTCTTGGGCTTGAGCCCAGGATATCGAGACCAGCCTGGGTAACATAGTGAAACCCTGCCTCTACAAAAAATAATAAGTTAGCTCAGCATGGTGGAATGTGCCCGTAGTCCCAGCTACTTGCAAGGCTGAGGTGGGTGCATCAGTTGAGTGTGGGAGGTTGAGGCTGCAGTGAGCTGTGATCACATCACTGCACTCCACCCTGGGTGATAGAGCAAAATTGATACGGTTAGGCCTTCTGTCACCACCCAAATCTCATCCTGAATTATAATCCCCATAATTCCCATGTCTTGAGGGTGAGACCAGGTGGAAGTAAGTGAATCAAGGGGTTGGTTCCCCCATGCTGTTCTCATGATAGACAGTGAGTTCTCATGAGATCTCATGGTTTTATATGGGGCTCTTCCCTCTTCCCTTGGCACTTCTCCTTCCTGCCACCTTGTGAAGAAGGTTCCTGCTTCCCCTTTGCCTTCTGTCATGATTGTAAGTTTCCTGAGTCCTCCCCAGCCATGCTGAACTGTGAGTCAATTAAACCTGTTTCCTTTATAAATTACCCAGTCTCAGGCAGTTTTTTATAGCAGTATGAAAACAGATTAATACAAAGTCCTTGTCCCTGAAAACAAAAACAAATAAACAAAACAAAACAACAACAAAAACAAAATAAAACCAATCCCAGACATTCTGACTGGTGTTAGATGATATCTCATTGTGGTTTTAATTTACACTTCTCTGATGATTAGTGATTAGAGCATTTTTTCATATGCTCCTTGGCCATTTGTATTCTTTTGAAAAATAGCCCACTTTTTAATGGGGTTTTTTCTTTTTCTTTCTCTTTTCTTTTTCTTTTCTTTTTCTTTTTTTTTTTTTTGAGACTGAGTCTCACTCTGTTGCCAGGCTGGAGTGCAGTGGTGCAATCTCGGCTGGCTGCAACTTCCGCCTCCTGGGTTCAAGTGATTCTCCTGCCTCAGCCTCCCAAATAGCTGGGACTACAGGTGCGTGCCACCATATCCAGCTAATTTTTGTATTTTTAGTAGAGACGGGATTTCATCATGTTGGCCAGGATAGTCTCGATCTCTTGACCTCGTGATCCACCCACCTCGGCCTCCCAACGTGCTGGGATTACAGGCTTGAGCCACCATGCCCCACTGGAGTAGATTTTTTCTTGTCGAATTGAGTTTCTTATAGTTTCTGGACATTAGTCCTTTGCTGGATGCAAAGTTTGAAAATATTTTCTCCTATTCTGCAAGTTTTCAGTTCACTATGCTGACTCTTTTGCTGTACAGAAGCTTTTGAGTTTAAGTCCCATTTTTCTATTTTGTTGTTGTTGCATTAGCTTTTGAGGTCTTAGTCATGAATTCTTTGCCTAGGCCAATGTTCAGAAGAGTTTTTCCTAGGTTTTCTTCTAGAATTTTTATTGTTTCAGGTCTTACATTTAAGTCTTTAATCTATCTTGAATTAATTTTTCTATACAGTGAAATAAAGGGAGGATCGCTTGAGTCCAGGAGGTGGAGGTTGCCGCAAGCCAAGACTGCTCCACTGTACCCCAGTCTGGGCGACAGAGTGAGACCCTGTCTTAAAAAGAGAGAGAGAGAGAGACAGAGAGAGAGAGAGATACTACTAATCCAGACAGGAGATTAAGATGGTTTCAAAATGGTGAAAAGTTCTGGATTTGGGATATTTATTGAAGGTGAGTCTAAAAGAATTAGTAATTGATTGGATGTGGTTATGAAAAAAGAAAAATTAACAATTACTCCAAATTACAAATTCCTTCTTATCCTTAGACTTTACTTCAGTCAAAGATGCTTCCACCTGTCTTTCATTCTTCCTGCCTGCCTGCTTTCCTCCTCCTTTTACTCCTCTCTTTTTCACTCAGAATCAGACTTGCATTGCATTCCAGCTCCATTTTTCTCTCCTTATTTTACAACAGCATTCTTAAGAAATGAAATTGTCACTTGTTCCACATTACTGCAAAACAAACAAACAAACAAAAAAAACAAAAACACAGAAATTCAGTCACTTGTTCAATGAGAGGATCTTTAGAAATAATAACAACAACAATAATAGCTGCATTCATCAGGAGGGTCTAGGTTATGTTGCTATCATG